TGTGGATCTGGGTGTGGGGTGCTGGTGTGGATCTGGGTGTGGGGTGCGGGTGTTGGTGTGGGGTGCGGGTGTTGGTGTGGGGTGCGGCTGTGGGTGTGGGTATGGGTGGGTGCGAGTATGGGTGTGGATGTGGGTGTAGGTATGGGTGTGGGTGGGTGTTAGTGTGGGTGTGTGGGTGCGGGTAAAGAGATAATTCACACTGACACCCACACTCACCCACACTCATCCACACTCATCCACACCCACACCCACACTCCATTCACACCCACAGCCACACCCACACATTCACACCCCACACACACACACCCCACACACCCACCCACACCCATCCACACCCACACCCCACACCCACACCCACACCCACACCGGCACTGTTTTGCTCATCATCTGAAGCTTCGACATCTGAAAATTGTAAACTGTCGACGATTTCTGAATAGATCTCACTAGCTGAAAGAGGATGAGTGTTTGATTCTGTTTCCGCACGACGTATACCGAGATGCCACAATAGGGCCGCTACGTGGACGCAGCAGCCAACATCCCGTGCTCCTGACATGCAGGTACAGTACCAACCATTGATGGGCTGTTCTGTATAATTGGTCTTATATTGTATGAGAGCCGTGTGGTTCTTGTTGTTCTTGTGACGAGAAGAGAAGCGAGCTCGAACAATATCATCATTTTGTGAACAAAGCTCAACGAGAAATTCGACTTCGTCGTCGTAAAGGGGAGATGGTGTTAAGTGTTCTTCGATATATGCAATGGCCTGTTTTACTTGATAACTTCCTACAACGAAATCGATCATAATATGAAAAATTGTATCATTTTCATACCGCAACATAAAGTGCGAACATCATCTTGAGATAACTCTGGAAAGAGGCACATGTTTGCATCATAAGTTTTCCAACCGGATCGTTTTTTTAGCGATTTCAGAAAGGCGAAGTTGAATATTATTTTGCTGATTAAATTTTTCAAGCATATAATAAGCCACTTCGGAGCCTGCTTGAATATCAGAAACAGGCCGTGGCCGAAAAGCATTTATAAGCGCACAAATAATCTCGAGATAATTACTAATAAAACGGAGTGATTAATTTTGGATTGTTTGATTAAAAAATTTCCACTGTTTAATTTGTCCATTTACTAGGAAAAGAAACTAATAGAAAGACTCAAACAAAAACTAATATTATACCGCTCTCAATGACCCAGCGAACTTTTGTAATTAAACGACTATGGTTTGCATCCTGGGTATTAAGTTGATGTTTTCTATTTACAAATGAAGGCATAACTGCTTCATAACCAAAATACTTAATTGTTGGTATTGCGTCACGGAATCCTCTATCGACTATTGAAATGTCGTCCTTATGCAGCCATTTTATTATATTGTGTTCGTTTTTGCGTAAGCAGTGCTTTAGAATAGATGCATCTTTATTGTTGTAATCTGAGAAAAAAGGCCCAATAGTACATAAAATATACCCATCCTATAAAAAGAATCGAATGCGACTAAGTTTATATGCTAAGGAATGACACAAAAAATGATTTGGTCTACTACTTTTTGGCAACAGACGAGAAACTCACTGTAGTTGTTAAAATCATAGGTTTAACTAAATTTCGATGTTTATGCATAGAATAAGATTTTCTTTGTACTTGATTGTTACTAGACTATGGTACGAAAATGTAAGGTGTATCAGCTATGACGATTAAGTGGTCAGATTTATTACTATGAAGAATACTAGCAATGTTTGTTTGATACTCTTCAATGGCAATTTCACGACTAATATGTTGTAGGCCCAAATGATAAGGTACAAAATCATTAATTAAAGCTTTGCGAACTTGACTGATAATATGAGAAACAACTCTTTTATTGTCAAGATGAAATAAAATGGCTAAAACGCGATTACTTAAACCCAAACGTAACTTTGCTAAAAATACGGCAACAGCAACGCGGACTGATCTTGTACTCGAGTTTCGCATTGATGGCAATGTTGCAGCCAACTGATTAAATTGTTCTATAAACAAAATTATCATGATAATATGTGTAAAAAAATTACTCTCGACACAGTCCAAAATTCCTTTTGAATGATATTTTTTCGGTAATTGGATATTGCATTCTTCTTTCAGATGGACTCAGATGTTTTAATTAAGTTACAACTTGAAAATGATCCCAATAAAACTACCTTCAGTTAATGTTTTCAACAAGAAAGAATTCAATATTGAACGCTAGTTACAATTATAAAGGTATGATCAATTTTTTTAATAGTCGACTTATTAGAAAAAAATAGATGAGACCAGAAATTCATTGATTTTTCTCGAGAACAGTAACTTCTTGTCAAATGTAAATTTCAATCAAAACATAGCAGGTTTTATCTCTCATTCATTGTAATTTCAAATACAAAGATACTATACAATTAGAAAATCCTGATGGAGGTGATCATAAATTTTAGCTACTGTTTTCAATTATGAAATACCTTTCGTTAATCCAACAATACTCTGAAAACCTTCATCGTTGAAACATGTTTCATTATCAAAATCAAAAGTTTTTTGTTTAAATAAAATGGCACGAACATCTTCCACGAATATTTGAAATTCATTCGAATCAATCTTCCATTGATCAGCCTTCGATATACGAATACTGCTAAGTGATTTAAAAGTAACTCCATCGTTACACAAGTGATCTCTACAACAACGAGATCCTGGAACAACAAGTACACCACATTTTTAAAAAATTATTGTTCTTTGCATTTGTGATAACACTCTCAACGAAGAACCTTGGTTATCACAAAACACACAAGACCTAGAGACAAAAACTATTTGTTTCAGCAGTTTGATACAAGATTCTTACTGGTGAGACTTGGAATATCGGAAAACTGGAATAGTCATACTATTAGATTGTACTTTTACGTTTCCATTTGAATTACCCGAACAGTTTAGATCCTCATCAGTATTCATCACCTGTCAAATTATCATATATATTACTAATGAAAACAATTCCATTCCTTACGCTATTATCATCATTGTTCACCGACTCTACATTCGATCGATTAAAGCAGTCCAATGAATCAAAGTCACCTTCCATTTTGGCTTTCCAATGAATGAAATGGCATCGACATTTCTGACAAATAACATCGTCACAAGATATACGTTTCGACAGCCGGACAGCGAAACACAAGCGTAGAAGTCCATCCCTGACTGCACGTACTTCGTGTGAATGAAAAATTCGTTCACACTCAATACATTTACAACGTGAAGTGTGAGGCATGTGTACAACGTAGAATAAAACAAGTGAATGAACGGCTGAGCTCTCCATATTTTTCTTCCTCCGTTCATTGCTTACCACCATTTTCATCATAGAATGAAAAAAAAACGTCTATCTCGCTCCTCTTCCCTAACGATCTAATATCTATATTCTCTTTACAGTTACTATCCTCACGTGATCTATAAAGAGAATCGTTTCATTTTTCTTCACTATTAAAGTACAATAAGGAAAAAAATCGATAATATGTCCCTAAAAATTAATATGTCTGATATCATAGAAATCAGTTATATATTAAGATAGAAGATTTTATATATCAAGCACAACATACTATAATACAAGTTTCATCACATATAGGAAAAGAGTCCATACTTTCTTTCAAGCTATTGATTGAGTATCATATATTCGTTCATTCTAATAAAACATCATGTTAAAAGGTTCTAAGATAGTTTTAGTTTTTTTCACTGAAATCGCTTTACTATTCTTTTCATCAATTCAAATTTTTTAAGAACTTTTTCTGATGTTTTCAGCGGTTATAAAATTCGATTTCACTATAACAAATGTGAAATATATCGTTTCGAGATATTCGTGAATTTTATTCACATTGATGGAACCTATACGCCTCTGAATGATTCAAGATACATGTTTGAGGATCTCCAAAATCAATTTTTTCCAACTTAGAAATAAGAACGTAAGCCACAGTAACAAATAAAATTTTGAATTTCTATAGCATTTGATATAATACTGCTAAGAATGGATCAAAATATACTATACAAACACTATTGTGAGGATTGTTCCTACCACGGGCCATACTTTTTTAATAGGAAGTTAAAGAATTTGTAGCATTTGAAAAGGGCTTTCAAACGTATATAGTCAAAACTTTGGTCATTTCCATTTTGAAGTTAAAATATCTCATGAACTATCAAAAAAATTACTAAATTTATGACCAAAATGTGGTAGTTTGTTTAAAGCGTTTTGTCATGAAAAGTCTATGAAAACCTCATGAATTTGGCATCAAAATGTTCGTCTTGAGGAGCTCTTTCTTATGGTATATAATCCAGTGTCAGTTCATAGTAAAATCAAAATGGGCCAAAACGGTATCTTATGCGTCCCCGTCCTTTGCTTTGATTCTTGTTGACTTGTTGGACATGATGGTAAAATTAATTTAGCATTTAGATTTATTTCAGGTAACGAAAATAAATAAATATTTTATTTTGAATTTCTAAATTTATCACGAAATTAATATTGATTAAATGTAGGTCTATCTTATTATTTCATATCTAACATATCAATTAAACAAATAACAAGTAATAATAACTTTGCTCAACTTTCAGTCCACCGGCTTATACCATTTTTGAAATAGAACATAAAAATTCTTCTTATTTTATTTTAACCTGCATTCTAATGAATATCAGTCACAGAAAATAAACTAAACTAAGTATGACATGGTGATTATTTGAAATGTCTTTAAAAAAAAAGCATGTTATCATTCAATGTCGCAATAAAGTTCGAGAATCATCATAAACTTCTTTATACAACAGTACAGAAAACTCTTTAGATAAATGATGTGTTGAATACAATTAAAGATTGTTTAGAAATTATTTAATATCGCAAAAAATTGGTATATTTACATGAAAACCTATAACTAGATTTCAAGACTTTCAATTGAAGATATTAGAAAACGAAAAATAAAACTTTCTAAAATGCTTTAATTTTCTTAAACCCTCTCGGACGAAGTATTCACATGAGAGTATTTTTTTATCCATAATAAATTACTTTTTCATCAAATGATTCTATTGTATAAAAAAAGACATAAAATAAAGCAATCTCAGAGAAAAAAGCATAAAATATTACTTTGATTGCATTGTCTACGAAATTTCATCCGTTCTTCAACATTCCCTAATAAGATTGCAATTTGAAATTGTCTACTAATATCTTATCGTACTTCAGCTAAACAAAAAAATAAAATAAAAACAACAAGAAATTTTTCAAACCAATTTTCATCATTTTCCAAGAAATAGATAATTGAAACTATTTAAAAGAAACCACAAATAATTTACATCAATATTTCTATATTCAAGTGCTAAGCCAAATCTTGTTTTTGCATCATTTGTTTTCAAGATGAAGATTTTTGAAAAGAAATTTGTAAATTTTACTTCATCATATTTTCTATTACTTTAACTTTTGTTATACAAATACATAAATCAAGTATATGAATTATTCCATGATCACCATTCATAAGTGCATACTTAATATGATTTAATGTTGTATGATGAAAAACACCTGAATCATCCTAATAATGATAAGTAATTCGTATCATTTGACCACATTGTATACTTAACTTTGCCTCTTCTTACACTTGCTAATGAACATTTTTGTTAAGCATCATATATATTAATATGATCATTTTCACTAATTAATCAAGACCTCTATCAGCATAAAAAATTTCATTACAATTTGATAATTAAATTTTCTTTTTATATTTTGTATTAAAATCCACACAAAAAAATTTAAAGCAACCCGTATGGCATTTAAATTAGATGAACGACGACCTTCACATACTAGAAAAGAAGAATATATGGGGGTGCAACAAACCCAAAGCCTTGGGATTTGGTATAAAAAGATTTGAGTTTGTTCTAGACTAGGATTTGGGCTTGGGTTTGGTCTTGAATTACCCAAATATGACGAGGCTTTGTAAAATAAAGTCCTAGAAGGGAGAAAAGAATCCCAAATATTATAAATTAATATGAAATAGATTGGATTTGGTATAGATTTGGGTTTTGGATTTGGATCTTAGGTTTGGATTTGAAATTTGGTGTATAGCAGGTTGGGATTTGGATTTGGAGGGCGAGGTTTGGTTTCAATTTAACAAGACTACAAAGTTGGAGTCATGTTAGATTGAAACCAAATCTCAAGCCCAAATCCAAATCTAAGACCCAAACCCAAATCCAAATCCCAAATTTCAAGTATATCACCAATTCTGAATCCCAAATCTCAGCCAAACAAAGCGATAGCAGCAATCCTGAGATCCAAATCTAGATGATATCCACGGTAATGGTTTAGCTGGTGTTCCACTATGTAACTTTAAAGTTACATAGTGGAACACTTTTGATGAAGGGGAACACCAGCTTTAATGTTACCAGTGAAACACCAGCTAAACCAATACCGATATCCACATCTAGGAACTAAATCCGAACCATACCCAAATCCAGAAACCAAATCCAAAGCCAAGTCCAAATCTCAAAGATTTGGTGCCAAATCCCAAATCTATTCAAGATTTGTTGTATCCCTAAGAATATACATTTAAAATATCAAACAATTTAGATAAAATATCTTTTTCTTTTTGAAATGTTCGACCTTTTTAAAACCCTAACGTTCAATTCGAATAAATCATATCATTCAGAGTTTTATATTGAATTTCTTGATTCACTAGCATCTTTCGAACGTGGACCATTAACAGTATTTTCAAATAAAATAAAACAATTAATTTATTTTAAAAAATTCTGAAAAAATTT